CAGCTTAGAAAGCACAAAGTTTACGAGAAAGTGAAAGAAGAAGTGCGCTGGCAAGTTACGGGGAAGGCACCCATTGGAACCAGATGGAGAGATATTAACAAAGGGGATGAGTTAAGCCCTGACCACAGGTCAAGGCTAGTGGCCCAACAAGTTAAATACAACTCCAAGGAAAAAGAATATATTTGCGGCTACGCCCCCACTGGAAGCACAGAAGCTACTCTTCTCAATGGCGGTTACGGAAGCAGTGGGATTTAAGAGAGGCGAGCGCGAGAAAGGATGAAAGCTGGCATTCATTGACACTAAACGAGCTTACTTTTACGCTCCTGCAAAGAAAGACATACTTATTAGGTTACCGGACGAGGATTACGAGCCGGGCATGTGTGGAAAGTTACTGAAGTCAATGTATGGAACAAGAGATGCGGCAAGCAACTGGGAAGACTGTTACATGTACTTTGCCATTAAAGTTCGGCTCGAGAGTGGAGTTGCGTCACCGTGCGTGTTCAAGCACGAGACCCGAGCCCTACGGTTAACGGTCCATGGGGATGACTTTACTCTAGTAGGTGGTGACCTTGACCTCGATTGGTTTGAAAATAAAACAAAGGAGGAGTTTGAAGTAAAAGTGAGAGGGCGACTTGGACCGGGGGAGGAAGACATGAAGGCGATCAGGATTCTTAACAGGATTGCGGAGTGGACTGAGGAAGGATTGAGATATGAAGCTGATCAAAGGCATGCGGAAATAATTGTGAAAGAGCTTGAACTTGAAGGAGTAAAAGTGAGGACTGAGGTGCCAGGTGAACGCATTCCAGTTGAGGAGGGGGACGAGGTATAACTTTCGGCCAACATGACTAAGCGATATCAGGCATTAACGGCTAGAGCGAATTATTTAGCTCAAGACAGATCGGACATACAGTATTCAGTAAAAGAAGTTGCTAGGACCATGTCAAAGCCAACTATGGGTTCGTGGAAAGGTCTAGTCAAGCTAGGAAAGTATTTGAAGTATCACAGCAGAAGCAGTTACGTGTATCAGTATCAAGAACAGCCTCGAGAGTTGACGATTTGGACGGACACAGATTACGCAGGATGTAAACGAACTAGGAAGTCTACGAGTGGAGGAGTAGTGATGTGGGGTAAACACCTTATACAATCCTGGAGCACAACTCAAAGTGTAATTGCATTATCGTCAGGGGAAGCAGAGTATTACGGGCTTGTGAAAGGAGGATCAGTCGGACTGGGACTTCAGGTAGTGTTGAGGGATTTTAACTTGGAAGTTGAGATCACCTTGAAAAGTGATGCCACGGCTGCAATCGCAATTGCGAGTAGACGAGGTTTAGGAAAAGTAAGACACATTGAAGTATGTCAACTGTGGCTGCAGCAGAAGGTAAAGGAGGGAGTGATTCGAATTGCGAAAGTAGGTACACATGAGAACGTAGCAGATGCATTAACCAAGTATGTCAGTCGTGAAAGTATGAGCACACACCTGCTAAACACAAACCAAAGCGCATTAACAGGTCGGCACAGCCTTGCGCCGGCCACCGAGTGTTGACATCCGCAGCTCATTTCTGTCAAGCAAGCTGTCTTGATTAAGGCTTCCTCCATCCTTTACCTCTTTCCCTCGAGCGTGAACGAAAGCATGGCGGACCATCAAGTCAACGTCACGATCAACGGCGCGGCGGTCGACCAGAGCCCGCCTGGGGCAGGACCGGTTGCGCGCGAGAACCTCAATCGCCGCGTCGACGATATCGTCAACGTGGCTCATGCGTTCACCATGACCCTCACCAACATGGCCATTAACTTCCACGGGGCCTATGATAAGCACGTTGACGAGATGCAGAGGGTTGCCGATGATATGGCGCGGAGGATCGTTGACTGAACGCAGCAGAACACCGCGTTGGTTCACGCCAGTGACGACGTCAACGAGAACCTCAAGAGGGCGCAGGACGAGGTTAACAACCTTGTGGCGATGGTGACAGAGTTGAACATCAAGAATCGCGACTCGGAGGTTAACACGGCGGAGAATGCAACCAAGTACCGGCGCATTAACGAAAATATCGGTTGCCTCTTGAATACCGCCAGGCGCCTTACCGAGAATATCACGCCCCTGCAGGACTTCGAAGGTAAACGTGATGCGGCGCTACGTATGCTAGTGGGAGTTACCGAGAGACTTGAGGGTTTGCAGAAGTTCTTGGATGACCCGATCAACTCCTCGGTTACCGATAGTCCGCAGGTGCCGCCGCCGTTACCTGGGTCGCCTCCGACGGCAGCACCCGCCAAGGCGCCACCCGTTGCCGCCACCACGGCAGCCGGGCCCATGGCCACGGGCGCGCCCCCAGCGCAGCCGGTTAACGTGTCTCCGCCAGGCAAGGCTCCACCTGCTCAGGACCTGGCCGGCGTAACCGCTAAAGCCGAGGGGAGTCGGCGGTCCGTGTCACCGAACAAGATTCGATCGTCACCGTTGAGCCGGCAGGGAGGTAAAGGACCCACAGCCTGTTTACAAGCGGGCGCCGAAGGCCATGCGTGAACGTCAACGGGAGCTGGAGGAGTTGATGCAGATAGGCATGAAGATGGACGAGGATCGAACGGTTGGTGGTCAACGTGATGAGGCGCCAAAGGATCCTGCTCCCGTCGTCCGGAGCCGGCCAAGCCGCCCCCTCCGGGGCTCGGCGAGCCCAGAGCGGCAAGCAGCGTTACCGGCGTGAAGCCCCCGCCTCCAGAGCCCAAGAGGTTACCGATCCAGCACATCCCGCCACCGCAGCCTCAAGTCGTTAACCGCACGACTGATCAGGTTGAGGGGTGCTCCAGGACCGTCGCCAAGGACACCACTTACCGCCCGCTGTACCACGTCAACGGTCGCATGTCCATGCTGAACAACAGGAGCGACGACTACGACGTTAACTTTCGGGCGGAACCTGATCCCAGGGAGGTGGTAGCCTTAACGATGAAGACACGTGATAATTGGCGCAGGTTTGAGGGTAACTTCGTCGGGCACGTGGCGAAGGCGGGGTTAACGACCCCTGGCGGCAGGTCCATTCAGGGCAACACCGGGCGGGAGCTTAACGATTACGAGGACGTGTTCGTTGACATCTACGGCCAACACGCTTACAGTTTCATCGGCTATGCCGTGTTGAAAGGTCCGGTCAGCTGGAGGTCTCAGTTAACGGACAAAGAGTTGGCCAAGCATGATGAATGGGTTGACGCGGTTGGGCACGTGCAGTCCCTATTTGACGATGACTACGTGCCACCGCTCTACCTTATAGAGCTTCACTCATCGTGGTTTGAGCTCCACAGTTGCCCGGACACGCAAGTGTACGTCAACAAGGTGCCGGAGATGAACGAGAAGCAGCTTAACGGCCTCTTCTTAACGTGGGCAGGAATGCTGCCCCACGGCAACCCCACCGTGATCTCCGTTAAGCACCTGGTGGAGGACACCCATGGGCCGCACAGTTACATCTCGACTGGAGTTACCGTGATTCGCTTTGCGACGCCCGATCTCGCCAGGCTTTACTGCCGTTACATGAGCGGGCTCCAGGTGCATTACCGTAACTACTTCATCGACGACCTCGAGGTCAGGAGCACCGCGGAGTTAAAGGGCAGTATCAGCAAGCCTCCAGTCTACTGGCACCAGACCATCTGGGAAGTTGCCCTTAACGATCAGGGATCCATGAGGGCATTTTACCGTGATAATTGGCCGGCCGACCATGTCACCGAGCGTAAAAGCGATCACCGTGAGAAGCTTTGCTGGTTTGGCTGGTTACCGTGCGACGACTTCCCCAACTGGCTTACCGATCCGGCCTGGACTGTGAACCCGTTTACCGGCGCTGCAGTCGAAGAGCACCTCCGTAACAATCCAGGCGGTGGGTCTTTGTTAAAGGCTCCCCACGTCAGTTACTGGAGGGCCATCGGCACTTACCACAACATCGTTGACGGCTCAATTAAGAGCCACGATGAGGGGTGCTGGCTTGACGACGAGGAGCGCATTAACGCGTACATGGACAACCACTACTACAGCCCGATGCAGGCCCTTAACAGGGTGTCGTCCTACACCGCAGCCGGCGTGGGCCATCGCGGGTTACCGAGGTCGAGGGGTTCACGAGCCCCGTCGGCGAGGCGCCCGCGCCGTCCGTGAAAGATGGCAGGCAGTCAGCATGCTGCAGTTCACGCTCTTCCTCATCTCCCCTCTTAACTTGGCTTAACGATCGAGTGGCGGCAGCTTGTTCAGCTGAGTTTGTTTGCATGCGCATCTCTTGTTGTTACCGCAGGTACTGGCGAATAAAAAGCGAAAGCAATCAACATCATCCAAATGCTAGCCTGCTGTGTAAACTTTAGATGCTTCGTTTGAACTTGTGACAGTAAAAGCGTTTACTCGAGCTCAGGTTACACGTGTGAGAAACTTGGTGCTCGTAAGCGCCGTCACGAGACATTTCGAATTCAACAGTGTGATGAAGAGACTAGAGACTTAACGTCATTTGCGTGCGACGTTTTGTATAGCTTTGTCAGCCAGTACGGACTAGCGTCCGAGGGGGGTGTTAACATGTAAGCATTCAGGTGACTGGGGAGTGCAGGTGCCCCCGTTACTTTGGCTCAAGTGTTTAACGGCTGAAGCTACCGAGACTTGCTTCGCCGTGCCGAGGGAAAAGGGTGACCGATCGTCATCGCTGTCACCGAGCTCCCGTGCAGAACCCTCCTCGGGGTTTTGCGGGAGGAGGAGGAGGAGGAGGCGGAGGAAGAGGAGGAGGAGGAGGAGGAGGGAGGGAGGGAGGGAGGAGAGGGAGGGAGGGGAGGAGGAGGAGGGAGGAGGGAGGGAGGGAGGGAGGGGGGGGGGGGGGGGAGGGAGGGAGGGAGGGAGGGAGGGAGGAGGAGGAGGAGGAGGGAGGAGGAGGGAGGAGGGAGGAGGAGGAGGGAGGAGGGGGGAGCACCCCCGCGAGGCCTCGGGGGCTCGCCCTCCTGTCACGTCCTCGGCCTCCCTCCGGCTCGGGTGCCCCCCCCCCCCCCCGCGCGGAGAGGCGGCGGCGGCGGGGGCGGCGCGCCGCTTGGAGGAGGCCCTCGTGGAGGCCTCCTCCTCCTCCTCTCCTCCTCCTCCTTCCCTCCTCCCCCTCCTCCTCCTCATCCTCCTCCCTCCCTCCTCCTCCTCCTCCTCCTCCCTCCTCCTCCTCCTCCTCCTCCTTCCTCTCCTCCTCCTCCCTCCTCCTCCCTCCTCCTCCTCCCTCTTCCCTCCTCCTCCTCCTCCTCCTCCTCCTCCTCCTACTCCTCCTCCTCCTCCTCCTCTTCCTCCTCCGCCGGTGCTCCCGCCCGCCCCCGCTGCGCACGCGCCGCTGCGGCCCCGCGCTCCTCCTGAGGGGGAGCGAGCCGTGGATCCGGGGGGTCGTCGTCGTTGTCGGTGTCGTCGTCGTCGCCGTCGCCGTCGCCGTCGCCGTCGTCGTCGCCGCCGCCGCCGCCGTCGTCGTCGTCGTCGTCGTCGTCGTCGTCGTCGTCGTCGTCGTCGTTGTCTCCGTCGGTGTCGTCTCCGTCGGTGTCGTCTTCGTCGATCGCCTACAGCCGGGCCGAGATAGAAGATCGAGGTCAGTTCGGGGAGGGTGCCCTGGTGTTTTTTGCTTTGTGCTTGGTGGATGTCCTTGGGCATCCTGGGGAGTGTACCCTTGGAGTTCTTGGTCGACGGAGGGGTTCTAGGTCCAACTGTACATGTTTCTTCCCCCACCCCTTAGCATTGCCCCTCTTGCTTTTGGACGTTGGCCAGACTTCGGCTCAAGGGCTGCAGCTCTCTGGTCAGAGAACGTCCGTGCGAGGCCGACTTAGGCATGGTGCGCGACGATAAAGGCAGGGCGGGCACAGCGGCAAAGGAACGGCGACACAGGCCAGAAACAAAAATAGGCCCGAATAGCATAGAGTATGTGCACGCTCTGCAGCACATGCGGAGAGGCAGGTCGAACATGAAATCGTGCCCCTCGTGCTCCCCAACCGACGGCGAGTTTTTTTCCTGGGGGGGGGCGTCGCTGGCCCACTGGGCGGTCGGACCAGGGCCGCACCGCGGTGAACAAAAAACGGTCTGTTCCGATGGCCCCCCCATGGGGTTTTGGCTGAGGCGTCGGACGTCTCTCGTTCTCTCCCCCTCGGTGGCCCGCGATCCTTTCCCCCGCAGGCGGGCTGAACGGCGGCGGTGTAGACAACGGCGATGTCGGTCTCGGTATTGTGGGAACGCGTGGCTCGATCTGTCCTGCAAATTGTTTGGGATTTGGGGGCGCTGCCGCCCATGAGGGTCAGCGGTCGTTCAATTGTGTTGTTCGCTTGCTCGTTCGCCATCGCCTGTTTAACATAGATCATGTCATAGGGGGGGGGGACTGCCCCCCCTCGCGTTTACGTAACTGCCCCCGCTGCCGTCTGCGCCCGCGCATTCGCTATATGCAGCGGCTGCAAGAGGCGTAGGTGGGCGAGGACTCTTCAGAGAACGTTCGCCCCTCGTCCTCCTCCGCCTCCTCCTCCTCCTTCTCCTTCTCTTCCTCCTCCCCCCCCTCTTTGTCCTACCACTTTTCCGCCTCCCAGCTCCAGCTCCACTTCCTCCTCCTCCTCCTCCACCTCCTCCTCCCTCCTCCTCCTCCTCCTCCTCCTCCGTAGCCATTTTGGCTCGAGCCATTTTGCCTGCGGGGGCGCGGCGGCCCGCTAATGGGAGCCCCCAGCCCCAGGCGCTCGCCTGGCGCGAGGCCGACCGCGCACGCGCCGCCCCCTTGGTGCGGCCTCGCTGCCCCGTGCCGCCCGAGGAGGAGGAGGAGGAGGAGGAGGAGGAGGAGGAGGAGGAGCAGGAGGAGGAGGAGCAGGGTGAGGAGGAGGAGGTGGAGGAGGAGAAGGTGCAGGAGGAGGAGGAGGAGGAGGAGGAGGCGCTGCACGGCGGCTCGCCACGCACAGGCTGCGGCTGGCGCGATCGCTGCACTGCTGCGGCCGCGGGGCTCGCCCGACATGGTCGCGGAGGGCGGGGCCCCATGCGTGGCCGAAGGCCCACCGCCCTTCGTGCCGGGGTTTCTTGGCGGAGGCTCCGAGGGCGCGGTGCTGATCGACCCCCTGGGCCTGGTCGGCGCTCCCGGGTGCTGGCTGCTGCGTTCCTGCCCGTCCGGCGCCGGATGGCCTGGGCTCGCCGTACCGATGGCGCCTGGGTGTTGGAGTCCTTCTGGTGTTGGAGACTGGCGTGGGGACGGTGAACCTGCTGGACTCCCTGGTGATGCTGCGCATGTGTCTTGCCCAGCTGGAGGCGCTCCGTCGCCGTCGATGGGAGGCACGCCTGCCGCGCAGCCTCCGTCTGCTGGACCTCATCGTGTTCGGGGTGGTGGGAGTCCACGAAATGCCGCTCGAGCTTTGGGGACCAGCCTGGAGTCGCTGGAGTTTGTCTGGACGTGCGCGCTGATGGTCCACGTATTCTCGAGCCTACCGATGTCGCCCTCACTCGTCCAGTTCATGGGCCGCGTGGGCGAGTCTTCGGTGCCCGACCTTGGGGTGGTCCTTTTCGCCCGCTACCTGGGCAACTTGGCCGCACTTTCAAGGTTGGGCATCAATATTTTGCTGAAGAAGCTGCTCTTCCTCGACCTGTTCCTGGGCCTCGTGGGCGTCTCTTCGGCGCTCCGCAGTGGTATGGTGCTCCTCGGCAGCACGTCGGGCCTCGATCGGGACGTGCTCACGGCTGGGCCGCAATCCAGCGGGACTGGCGGCGACATTGCTTCCCTTTTGGCGGCGGACAGCTGCCCTGGTTGATGGTGCCGCGGCAGAGCCCAGGAGCGACGGACACATCTTCAGCGACATGCCGTATCTCTGGGGCTTCTACGCTGAAGGCTTGCTGGATATTCTTTGTCGCCCAAAGTCGTGCACGGCGGACGGTGATGCGACGATTGGGGCTTCTGAGCCGATTCCGACAGTGAGCCTTGGCACCGCCTCAGATGTATTTCCTTGCGAGTTGGGACGCCGTCCCCAGTAGTCGTCAGAAGGGTTTCGCTTGGCCGTGCAGGCACATATCTTCTTCGCCTGACATGGCGTATCCCTGGGGGTGGTACGCTGACGGTTTGCTGGATATTCTTTGCCGCCCCAAGTCGAGCTAGGCGGGCGATGATGCGGCGATTGAGGCTACTGGGACGTCTCGGACAGAGAGCATGGGGGCCGCCTCAGATGTGATACCGCGGTCGCATGGTCACGGCAGCCAGCCCCAGCGACCAGGGAGTGGCTTCGGTGGACCCCCCTCGCCTGGAGGGAGGAGCGGCATCACCTGGGACAGCACGTGCCGTGCTGTCCCAGGTGATGCCGCACACCTGGTCCACGCGTTGGCCTCTCGAGGGGCTGGCTTCGGTAAACTTCCTGCGCTGTGCGGAAGGCACGGCCTGGAGGATGGCACGAGCTGTGCCGTCCCATGTGACGTCACGCGCCTCCGCTCCCAGGAAGTGGTTTCGGTGGACTCCCCTCGCTTTGAGGCGGGCGCAGCCTGGAGGATAGTGCAGAGCGCTGCCCCAAGGGATGTCGCAAACCTGTTTGGGGCGCTGGGCTGGTGCTGCGCCTGGCCTCCGCCAAGTTCCTTCGGGCGCTCTCCCCGCTTTCCTTTGGGTGGGGGAGCGCGTCGCTGACAGATTCCCAAGCGGGCAGGGGCCCTGCCTCCTTTTCCTGCGCGCGTGGCGCCCCCTGGAGCGCGGCGTCCGCCAGCCAGCGTCGTATCCTCCTCTTCCTCCTCTTCCTCCTCTTCCTCCTCTTCCTCCTCCTCCTCCTCCTCCTCCTCCTCCTCCTCCTCCTCCTCCTCCTCCTTTTCCTCCTCCCCCCACCGACTGGTGACGTTCCTCGCGCGGCGCCAGTATTGGGACGAAGTTTCGATATTCGAGCTGTTCTCACGTTTTCGTCGAGTCGTGGCGGCCATCGATGCCTCCCAGCGGCGGCTCAGCAGCGGGGTGCCGTTCTGCAGCTGCGCCTCGCCGAGAGCGTTCCGTGGGTGCCCGAATCATCCCGAACGGTCGCCGGGGAGCCGCGTTGGGACCCGAAATCCTGGCGGGTCCTGATCAGTTGGGCCTACGGTCGGGAGCGTTGGCTTGGCGTGTCGGGAGCGTCGCGCTGCCAGCTCTGGCCCACCATGCCCCAGCCCGACACGCTAGCAGCGCCCCAGTCCCTGAGCGTCGGCGTCCGGAGCCCCACATCCTTGCCTTGGGAGGCCCGCGCGGGGGCGCGGTGCTCAGCAACCTGGCGGCCAACGCGCACTTCCACATTGCATGCGGAGGTGCTGGCTCGGACGGCTAATCGCCGCTGGCCCCCCCATGGCCCACCACGGCGGCAGCGACAACGCGCTCGACCACCGATGAATTGGATTCGTCGACCACGCCTCCGCAGCCCGCTTCGGAACACGGGACGCGGACCTCTCTTGAGTCGTTGGCCCCACCCCCATCGGAGGGGGATGATCCGTCGCGCTGCATTTCCCATGTTTCCTTCCATGCGTTCCCTCCTTGCCTCCCCACCCCCCTGTTCCAACCCCCTCCCAAGTCGCGGCCACTCCTGGCGCTCGGCTGCGATATCCCGCTGCTTCTCATCGCGCGGCCGCCCTCCTCCACGCGTTCAGGCCAGCGAGGGCAACGAGCGCGACTACAAGACGCGGGCGCGAGGCCTCGCCTTCAATCTCCGCCAGAACGAGGATGTTATTTGTTCAGCTCCTCTGGGCGTCTTGCCAGCTGCAAGTCAGGCTCGATATCTATCTGGCGACTGGCGAAGCTCTTTTCCTGAGGGGCGGAGAAGGATGGCGCGTGATCGCCCGCTCACCGACACCAGAAGTGTTTACGGAGTTGGTCAGGTGAGAAGGCCCACCCTCTCTGGGAGCCCCCGCGAAGGGCTCAGCGGGGCTAAAGGCTCGCGCCGATACTTCGACGAGCACCGTGCCCGGCCCCCTGGCATGCCAGCGGGGTGTGCTGGCCTGGGGAAGCGCAAGACCTGTCAGGAAGCCAGCTCTTCCAGGGAGGCGGGCAGGATCGGGTGCAGGCTGGGGGGGTGCGGAGCATCTGCC